GACTACAACTGACTGGTTGACTGACTCCCTGGCTAACTCATAACTAACTCTTGAATAGTCTTCGCTGCTCCTTATTTAGCCCCGTTACAGACAACACAGAAAACAGTTACGTAATGGGCACCACTGTTGTCTGATGCTGTGTTTGCCAATAGCCTAGCAACGCTGTCAGTTGTTCACTGCCGAGTAGCAACAGTGGCGTCCCGTGTTGTCACCGCGGGAGGGAGCGGGGTGTTGACTGGCCTATCACTGTGGCAACAGCAACGCTCCGAAGGTGCCACGTCACCGCTGACGGGGGAGGGGGTGTCATGCATAGCGCAAATGCATCACAGTATATATAGTCACATGCAAGGGCATATGCTTGACGAAATGACGGGTTCTAGTTCAGATGATTGGAATTTTTAACAGCTTGATTACCCACTTTTTTAATCACACTCAAATACAGGGCCATAGCTGATTAACATACACTTCATAGTGCACTGTTACACACTCCCAATATTACACATAAATAAAGTCTTCTAATCAAACACAAAGACTTAACAGAACAAACTTTCCACGGCTATCTTCCACCGAGAACTCTCTCACTGCCACTTAAACACTCTGAAATACTCTCAAATACTGCCTTGGTTATTCCTGAAACCTCATTATACAGCCTCCACACCAATCACAGAAAACAAGTCACATGACAGTAGGTTTGCAGTGTGACATCACTGCACCTGCACAGAAGTCTGTTTATTGAGCCACTGCCTAGAAGCAGGTTGCGTGTGTTTACCAGTCTGTTACCTAGCAACGCTCTAGCCATCCAACGCTACTATATATATATATATATATATACACATATACATATACACACACACACACATATACATAATGAACTAATTCCGGTCTAGAAAACTGAAATTAATGGCCAAGGAGATTCATTGCGCTGACCACATGACACCCTCAATCTGCTAAACTTAGCACTAACTTCGCCGACAAGCAGTGGTCACTAGATCGGTACAGTTTGCTTGCAGACTAAAACCACGGAGTTTGTATTTTTGTTTGTAATGAACTAATTATGAACCAACTACATTGAAGAAACAGGGTTCTTCTTGAAGCTAACAGGAACTCAGCTAGTGAAGAAATCCATCTCTTTCATTGGACCCCAAATTTTGTTACCTTGTTTCACAAGAAACTACCACCAGTCCCTGCAAGGGGCATATTACAGATTGCAGACAATGGGCTATTGAACAGAAGAACAAGTTGCTGAAGCAGACCTTCTGGAATAACTACACAGCTCTAGACAAGTGGATGACGCCCCTAATGAGGTGGAATGGGATTTTATGAAAAATTTTAATAGAAATTTTTATGGATTTTAATTAATTATTTTTATGTTATTTTTAAGTGGACTGCAACATGCAGTTTTAGCGCACATCAAAGCAGTGTAACAGTTTGGATGCATTAAGACACCTGAAGATGGCCATCTATGGCTGAAACATGTTGTGTTAAGTGTTAAATGGTGAATAAACAATTGTTGCATTATTGGCGGACTGTGGATACATAGATGTTTAATCAAAGATCAACAACAGGATGCTGAAATACAGAATTATAAATCCAGGAGCCTGGAAAGAAACTGAAAAATCTTCTTTGATCAAATCTGTCCTAGAAAACTGGGCTATATGCAGTCAGAGATGACCTTATTCTTCAGTTTGTGTGAAGTAACCTTGCCAAAGTGCATGAAATGGACATAATCAGCCTAGCAGTGTGGAAGACATGACATCATAAAGGACAGTGACCATTACTGTTGACTGTCAACAATTCATAAAGATAAACATGGATATAGACTGAATACGAAACCTTTAATGTTTTTACTTATAATCCGTATAAACTGACATTAGGTAAAGTTGTCTCTGTGCTTAACTAAATAAGCACTACACCATGAAGCTGTATGGGGGAGTGGATGTATAGATCCACATTTTCTTGACCTTGGCACTAGTTGGAGGTCAGTGGCCAGCTTCACGCCCCAGCTGCTTTAGCCCTAATACCCATTGTATAGGACGCTGGGTGGACCCCAGGGCCAGTCTGGATGACTTGGAGAAGGGAAATTTTTTTTAGTCTACCGGGAATCATACTGCAACACCTCAGTCGTCCAGCCTGTAGTCAGTTACTTTACCAACTATGCTATCTCAGCTCCTCTATAAGATGACATTAGTAGTTAAAAACAAATGTTTTGATAGTTCACAAGTCATTCCAAAAGACAGAGATTATAACCCTTGTGCATGGTGGACGAAGAAACCATAAATTGTTCTCTTTTTATGCTGTAATAAATTACTTGAAGGCCTTCCCTGCTGCTCTCTGACAATTGTCCTCCACTCACCGGAGCCTATCTTTATAGGGTGAGGCTGGACAACTAGTGCTCGGTTGGAGGGGGGAGCACCGCTAAAGGCACTGAGGCTTACACTGTTCAGCATTTATGAGGAGCAGTCAAATGAAAACGGGTCAGAAACCAAAACATATTAAAGAAAATTTCTTACCGCAAAAGTAATCTCCAAAACTGTTAACACATTTATACCACTGGGAGATGAGATGGCCACACATGTCTTCGTCCAATGCAAACCAATGTCCACGAATGTCTATCTTCAGGTCTCAAAAAATGTGAAAATTACATGGGGAGAGGTCTGGGCTGTAGGGCGGGATGTTGAAGCACTTCCCAACCAAATCTCTGTAGCGTATTCCTCACAGAGTTGGCAGTATGGGGGCGCACATTGTCATGAAGGATAATGCCGTTCGGTAGCATTCCAGGGCGTTTTGACTTTATGGCACATCTCAGTTTCTGCAAAGTGTCTTCATAGCGCTGTGCACTGATTGTGGCCTCATGCTCAAGAAATTCGACAAGCAGAGGGCCCTTGCAATAGAAGAAGAAGGTCATCATCATCACTTAACCGAAACTTGTGTGTACGGCTTTGGATTTCTTCGGCGGGGGAGAATTCACGTGTTTCCTCGGTGGGGGAGAATTCACACGTTTCCACTGCTGTCTCCACTGTTTGCTCTCTGGTTCAAAATGGTGGCACCAAGTTTCATCCCCAGTGGCAATACGGGACAGAAAAGCATACTCTTCCTCATGGTATCGTTGCAAGTGACCCAGTGATGCAGCCATTCTCTGAGTCCTCTGTTAGTTGATGTAGAACCTACTGCGCACAGATTTTGCGGTACAGCAGGTGTTTTGTCACAATTGCATGTACAGAACCGTGGCTTATTCCCATCAAAAGACTAATTTCTTCCACAGTGATCCGTCGGTTTGCCCGAATATGACCATCCAATGCAGCACTAACATCAGGAGTAATGACATGATGAGCCTGTCCTGGGCAAGCATCATCTTGCAGTGACACACGCCCCTCTCGGAATCTCTTATGCCATGCCAGCACACATGAACGTGACATGCTGTGTTCGCCATAAACAACAGACATGCGACGATGCATTTCTCGTCCTCCTATTCCTTCAGCAGTCAAAAAGCGCACTACATTTCGCTGTTCTTTACCCACGTCCATTACTGACATTGGACAACCACACATAGTGCTATCCTTACTCCCAGCACAATAAACAAACGATTAGTGTGCAAGGGCACGATGTCACTGTGCTTTCCCCGAGTCCCCACCAGATGTAAGCAAATTCCAGTGTTACCAACTTGCGTGCCGTGTGAGTTATGCGTGGTGACCCATTTTCATTTGGCTGCCCCTTATACATTACACATACCAGGCTTAGAGCTTATAGTTACATTGGTTCCCGCATCTGACACAGTATGCTTCTCACACAAACCCACTATGATATATAATAATTCACAGCCCACTTTCCTGCTGTAGTTTAACTTGCCTTATTTTATATAAGAAACTTGGAAGTAACAATTATGTGCTTATATGGATGCCTCATGTCATGAGAATATGTTTTTAGGCACATGGTGAATTTGCTGTATGGGAATAGTGGAAATTTCATGCCTAATATAGTCTTGAGGTTCTTCCAGAGAGTATGGATTGTTCATCATGTCCCACAAATAAAAGTCACAATCATTTAAATCAGGTGACCATGGAGGCCACAATAAAATGCCAAAGGCACAATGTGAGGCATCCAGAGAACTGCTTGCAGTGTGTACCGCTGCATTATTCTGCATTAACATTTGCAATTTATTACTGTGTGAAAAAACACATGCCAAATTATCCTCCACACATGAAGTGCACATCAAACTTCAACTTTTGCATCATGCAATAGAATTCCAAAAAGAGCATGATGATTTTCTATGGTCTGGTGTATGCTATTCTGGATGTTTTGTGTAACCACATGTCATCAGAATATAATGTAACTTTGAGTTCAGTAAGTTTGTTGAATACAGATTCTTGAAGGCGCCTACAGTTATCAAATTCTTGCTCCATAATCTGGAGAGAAATGTCTATGTATGACAGTAGCTTGTGAGCTAGTACTTTTGCATCTCTGTACCAACATGACATGAACTTCTGCCAACCCAGTGAAGGGCCAAAGACATAATGACTTCTTCATGCTTGCTTCTAATCTAATATATAAATATATATTACATTGAAAAATGCTTTATATAAAACTTGCTGGCCTTNGAAACAGCTGATAGTGCAGATCACCAAACCCCCGCTGAAATTATGCAGAGAGACACACTCAGTCTCCCAATAAAATGTTCTGTTTATGAATTTCAGGTTAGAAAAATGCATCTCAACCTATCACCAATGAGCTTATCCAAATTTGGCTCCAGTATCCACAGCCATATTATATAGTAAATAATACGAGTACAACAATATTCACACAGTTTGCCACAACTGGTCACTCTGTATGACTACAATAACCTAACAAGCTTTCATCCTATTACATAAGGTTGTGTGACATAAGCAATAAAAAATTGTAAAGGTGTTTCAATTATGCATAACACCAAGAAACATATGAAGCTCTGCGAGAAGCAAATGATAACAGTGAACGAAAGCATTTGTTGTGAGCTAGCACAGACTTACAATGTGCTGGAAGCCAGGTTCGTGTCCTCATGTTTCAACTGTCCATCTAGAGCTAACCCCCACTTGTCCTTGTTATTGGCGAGCAGTGGAGTCATCATGAAAACTTTGCTGAGCGTGAACCCAGGCCCGATGGGGCACCCCTCTCTACAGCAGCAACCGCCACCACACAAAACACACAGCAAACATCACTCACACGCTCCCTAATGGGTGGGGGACACACATCATAGCTGGCTGGTACTTGTGGTCGAACCAATGACACTTGTTCCCATGAGCCAGCAAGTTTACCCCATGATCATAAGCCAGACATATTAAAACATAAGTCTCTAAGATAGGTCTTAATATCAATCTCCCACCTTCTTCTTAGTTCACATAAATTATAGTTTTATATACACAAGACACCATACTCTTGCAAATTTTTGAAATGCAGATCTGATTCAGAATGTAAATATATTTGAAATATATCTTCCCATAATGATCATCTAAAAGATGTTACATATTTATTAAAAACATGATCTTGTACAGCGATCAAGACTTTTATTTCATGGTTTACTTAAGGATGCTTTGTCAACTGCTAAAAATGTTAAGTGGTTTAAGTGACGATGCGAAAGGGGGTAATAGAAAACAGTAAAATGCCCATCTTTAGATATTATTCCAACATTTGCCTGGAGGTTCTGAGGAAAACCATAAAATGAAAGCTGCTCTATGGGCTGAGATTCATAGTGGATACCTCCCGAATGTGAGTCAGGCACAATTTTATACCTTATTACAGATATAATCTTATAGAATCTTTTCATGGACAGTTTATATTTTGTCCAGCACAGGTTATGAAGCAAAGCACTGAATGGCAAAATATCTGTGTATGATCAAATAGCCTGTTTTAAAGTACCTGTCTGACATTAGCACCAGGGATGTTCTAAACGTGAAGTGGTATTGCTAATCATCACACCAAAGTGATAAGTCTTCCTGCAATAATCAGGCAAACACTACATTACAAAAAACATTCCAATTGAGGTGCACATAATGGGGTAAACTGACTGTCACAGCTGGTGATGGTCAATTTATTAGTGGTACATGAATACTGACTCTTGCATTTTTTTTAATTTACTGCTTAGAAGATAAAAGATCAGTCGTCCATAGAATAATGACATGGGCTCATCTAATTATGAGAAGAACAGCTTCCAATAAATGTTGCACTGCATAAAATTCCAACATGCTTGAACCTAATTACCTCAAGTCACAATGTTCAACTGCTGGCTCGCTGTGTCACAGATTCTGTTATTCCTTTTACCACCAGGCAGCACTGCAGGACAATGTGCCAATGTGACTGTCAACAATTACATCTACAACTACATCATAAACATTTTGTGTATGTCTTAGGAGCTGGCTCTATTCCAGTTTCAGATGACTAGTTATCACTATCCTGACAATTTTCATTATAAGAGACAGAAGTCAGGATCAAACACAGAATTTTCTGAATAATTAATGCATACATTAACAACATGACCAATGAGATTATCCACTGCTTGAAAAATCAACTTATGAAAGACGTTTAACTCTTTCCACTCGCTTTCCCTTATACTTTAGCAGCCATGTAACAACAGACTGGTCTCATATGTTTCAAACGCCAATGCTGCTACATTTTAATACAGCAGAATTGGAAGAGCTCTCTGAACTGTACGCTTTGTGGGCAAAGTGTTAGCTGGAGAACATGCTGGAAGAAGTTGAGGTAATTAGACTAGTCCATCTCAAACAACAACACGGTGTGTTCCAGCCAGCTAATGATCATGAGCCCCACAACTCACATTGTAGATGATGCAAGGTTTGTGTCCTCATGTTTCAGCTGTCCGTCTAGTGCCAGGCCTCTCTTATCCTTGTTATTGGCCAACAGTGGTCGCACTGTGTATACTTTTGAGAGTGTGAACCCAGGACCAACAGGACAGCCTGCTCTGGAATCCATGTCAATATTTTACACCACCTGCTACATCACACCTCAAACATATCATCAGAATAGTGTCATCAAATCAGTAACCCAAAGAGTTAACAATAAAGATGACAAGTAATGTCTTACAGAGCATGTGATTATTGTAAGGAGTTTACGCTATGGAACAGGGTTTCCTTTGAGAAGCTGACAGTTACCTAAGTAGTCCAAAAATTTTTCTGTTATGAGAATCCAAGTTTCATTACTGTGTTTATAAAAATTTTTGAAACATGCAGTTGAAATTAATAAACGCCCAGAAACATAAGAATAGTTATAATGATGTTGTAATGTCAATCATTTTACATTTCTTTATAATTCCAAGAAGAGTATAAAATGCTCCAGTGCTAGACTGACTGCATTGGTACTTTACCAAAGTAGATCTGTCTTTTATGCATTTCAGTTTTGAATGCTAGAACACTATGATGCCACTACAGTCCATGTAACAGACAAGACAGCCAGTTAGAACATGTCTCAGACCACTGTTTTCAAAATGATGTGTATTTTACTGCATGGGCATAAAATAACTTTATAACAGCACATATGGTACATACACTTCTTCTTATGGCTTACTTTGTGTCATTTCAATATTCTGAAAGTTATAGAACTACCGTGTGCTCACTCTGTATCATACTATCAATAAATTCTATGTCTCTCCATCATTTGATATGATATGATATGAACAATACTAAGCATATACCTTCTATTATAGATATCCTGTTTTTCCCTCTCTCCCCATGCTGCCATGGTAACAAAAGAATATCTGTCATGATACAGTGAGACAGCTGTTGTGTCTGATTAAAAGTTAAGAGAAAATAAATACGAACAGAATATTACTGCATGCATTTCAGGCAACTTCTGAATCAGTATCCTTTTTCCCTTGCAGTCAGGTAAGAAAGGGTCCCTTAGTACTGCAGTCTCAAATAGGCCTCCCGTACCAGCCCGATGATGAATGAGTATGAAGGAAAAACCAAAAAGCTTGGAGAAAAACCTGCCACTTTCTCAACCACAAATTCCACTGATCCTGGGCCTCCACGCTGAGAAGCGAGAAACTGTCTAACATATGTCATGGCCGGTGGTTCCATTTAGTATGTAACTTGACAATTAAAAATAATGTCAAAATAATCTGCTGCACTACTGGATATGGCTTGTGTGCAGAACAAATGCCAGGATTGACTGGGCAGTTCCACAGTTTTCCATAACTGATGTCAGCTTTGAGGTACACAGATAATATATTTAATAATTTGTAATTTAACAGACACCATTAATTATACTAATATAGCTGCAACATTCTATGAGGCTATGTTATACTCACTCGCTTTCTGCTTCCGCAACTGTGCATTTGTACTGGGCCGTGGAGAAGAGACAGATATCCGCAAACTGCCGAACTTGTAATGAAATAACAACAAATACTGAAACATGACATGTAAGACTGTCACACTTAACACATTTACTGCCAATGACAGCATGCAATATGTTAATGATCAAAATATCTCCTCTTTTCTCCAACAGATATCATCCAGATGTCACAAGCTTTCAATTATCAAAGTGTGTTGATATTCAATATACATTTCAAAGATAGATGCAACATTCAACTTCCTACACAAATGACATTTGTATTTAGCCTGGTAAGGGAGTCATGAAAATTTGCTTCCCACTGTGTACAGAGCTACTTTAAAAGCCAAGACAAGGTTGAAATATCCCGAATAAATAATCTTTATGAAAATTATTAATTTTAACAACATATGTCTCTGCAAGACATGAAACTAACAGCAAATCACCTATACAGCAGTGCTGACAAGCAAACAAGTTATCATATCTGTTCTGGAGAGCTGTAAATTCAGTTCAAAAAGCAAATACACTATAATCCACATTCCATGTACTGAACTCAAAATCAGTGAAGTAATTATCTTCTGAGCCACCTGTTTATTCTGCCAAGTATGGTTTTCAGACTACTTTTGTCACCACAAATTAAAGAACGGGAAACACAAGCAATCAGTCACATGAACCACTATACGAAGTGTGTTCAGGAAATAACGGGAATTTTAAAATTTCGCGGGTTTGGAGAGTCCAATTGTCAAAATTTTTTTTTTATTATGTTGGTATACATGCCCCTGAAGTACAATAAAATTTTCAGCTGTATTCATTGCTTACTTTGTCTGTGGCAGCCGCTAAGGTTAGACGTGTTTTTATGAGCTTGGCGATTTTCGTTTGTTAAAAGAAATGGATCAAAGAATTTGTATCAAATTTTGCGTAAAAAATGAAATAAAGTGTTACAAAGTGTGTGAAATGTTAACAAAGGCCTATGGTGAGTCTGTTATGAGTAAAACAAGAGTTTACGAGTGGTATAAGCGTTTCCAAGATGGCCGTGAAGACGTTGCAGATGACGAGCGCCCCGGACGCCCCAGCACATCAACAACCGATGAAAACGTGGAAAAAGTGAAA